TGCTCATTTGGCAGTCATACTTCGGATGCACGCTGGACCTAACATGTAGACTTACCGGGGGAAAACGCAACAAGCCACAGGCAGCACAACGACCCTGCACTGAAATCCATGATACTCGTTATTCCCAATTCAAAGGCGACAAATCACACTGAGGCCTGCATGAGTGGGGTTTGACAGACATATCGTCGCAGAGCTGACAAACCGACGAATAAGCGAAAACCTTGTTTGGAGTAATTCGCGTTTGAAGTTGGACACTTCTCCGGGCGCCGTATTTTACCCTTAATGTTTCCATAAAAAAACTGTTAGTATATATTCTGAATAAAATATGAAACTAAGTATCCACCAGGTCACTTATTTAATCAGAGAAGTTGTGCGATATGGTTTTATTTGATCGTTAACGCATTCGTCAGTTTGTCAAATTACATTAATCGGCAATATCCGGTTGTTCTTCACACTGTTTGTATGCTATTCGTCAGTTTGTCGGATCGCGCGTGCACGCACGCGCAATCCGACAAACTGACGAATAACATTCGTTGGTACTTTGAACGCACACCTTACATAAGCTGGTTACCAGCGAAATGTGTGTAGCTATTCGTCAGTTTGTCGGATCGCGCGTGCACGCACGCGCAATCCGACAAACTGACGAATAACATTCGTTGGTACTTGGAACGCACACCTTACATAAGCTGGTAACCAGCGAAATTTCGTATTCGTCACTATGTCAAATTATGGATTTGTTTTTGTGAGTGATTCGCCACAAGGGGGCTCTGAATCTCAAAATCCAGACAAATATTAAGAATTTTGGCATAAATACTTGAAAGAGCAACCTTCATAAGGCCTAAAAATAACAAAAAATCGAAATCGCCAAAATGGTCGATTCGCCGGTTTGTCAGCTCTGCGACGATATGTAGGCTGTTATAGCTATGAACGTGTATATACTAGTGGATGCATATGTGTACAAAAATGTAGTCATGTATATGTACTTATACATGTATACTGCAGTACAAGTCAACGAACTATATCTGCCAATAAGAGGAACTATGAATGAAATGCGCACATATCCGTTTGCCACTTGTAATAAACTTTGAACTCTTTTTAATAACATGTTAGCCCTTTATTGTATTCATGGTTTTGTCATGCGTGTCGGGCAAGTCTATACGCAATCCCTTGATCTACACCAGGAAATAACGTTAAAAAAAACTTAATAATGCAGAAAGAAATGACGCATACATCTGGCTGTGAATATGTTGTTTGTAAAGTAATCGGGACCGGTGTAATTAAGGTCAACTCGGTCGGTAGGACAGAATGTGCCTCCATCGTTACTTAAAAATATTACGTCATTTGTTAAATTTGTTTTATGTAGGCTATTCGGTATATTTATAAAACAGTGAACCTTATCGGCAATTGAACACATTTTGAAATAATCAGTATACATTGTTAAATTTAAAAAAAGAAACTACAATTACATTATTTAAAAAAACACAACTACCCCCTAAAATTACAAATATTAAAAAAATACACAACAATCTCGATCCCTTTCAATTGGCAGGGTTTCTGCCTCCTCCAAGGGGAGACGCCTTGGAGTAAGCTATAGGTAAACTACAGTTTGAAGAAATCAGTCAAAATAATAATTGCGCATTTTGGTGCTCGAAATACGATCAAGAATTATTCAATTGCGAACCTAGAATTTTGCCCGCTACTTTTAAAACTATGCAATGGGCGTAGCGAGTAGGCGAGTTTTGCATTCCACCGCGCTTTGTTTAAGAGAAATAGCTGACATTCCGTGCGTTTCGGTATAGTTTTCATGTAGGGCTAGCTGCGAAATAACTTTGATTTCGATCCAACGCCTCGTTGCAGCCAGAACATCATTTTGCGAGCACTTACACTGCGGCTCCCCGATAGCAGTAAAATATTTTCGTCTATTTTGCTGCCGATCATCGATTTGACATCGACAGTGGCATGAACGTAGATCATCCCAAGTGATCCTATCCTTGGAGTGACAGTTCAGCATATTTTCCCTTTTGACTGTCGTTCTATATACCCAAAGTTCATATATACTGTAATTCTTTTGTAAATACCTAATAATTTGTATATATATTGTCTCATATCTGTGCTGTAAATAAAACATTTGATATTATTGAGACAAACAGAAAACTTCGCTCCACCCAATTTTTTTTTAGTGGAACCACTCGGTTGTAAGGAGAGTGCCACATTTTAAAACTAATAAATCTCACTCTCCCGGTTACAATGTGCTTATATTTTGTTTAATCGTTTGGAGAAGAAAACAATAGTGATTTGCTGGCGAGCGATATTGTTATTGTTTTAATGAACTCATTTTTGTGTTATGTTTTTTAATGAACTACATTCAGTTATTTTTTAAGTATTAATTGATCTTTGATTCTTCAAAGAGGTCCGGCCGCTTGGGAGGGAGGAGGGGTATAGGGGAGGAAGTATATACTCAACTCAAAATATATAAAGACCCACAAGTTGTATGCAATTTACCAAAATTTGTAAGATATATTATAATTTTTTTAGTATTATTAATGATTGATATTGGTTCGACAGAACGGCGTGGGTGTGATTTACTTGACCCAACTCTTGCAAGAGTCAATAGGCGTCACTAGTTATTTGAGCAAGTTATAGTATAGGCCTTAAATCATTAGTTTGCCTTCAAATGAACTGTTTTTTCCCAGTGCCTTAGTTGCCCTGTAAAGCTTTGTTGGTTTACTACGGCGTATTAAATTCTGAAATAGAGAAATTTCTGTCAAAAACCGACGGAAGAAATATGTCTGTGTTCAGAATATTTTTTTTTTTTTATGTTTCAGGATAATCGTTGGCTTTGCACACATGTCAAAGTTTGGAATGAAAGCACCGTCAAGTGAGTGTCGTTATCAGACCTACCAGAAAACGTGAAGAGAAACTACAGGAAGAATAACGATACAGCACTGAATTAATGCCATGTCACCCATCTGAATGCTCAATATACCGATCACACTATGGCCTGCGTGCGAACCATCGGAATAACAGACCTACTCTATATTTACAAACGTATTGTGCATGTTCATCTGAAATACTGTAGAACAAGTGATCATGAGCTAACTATAGAACAACAACAGGAATTATAAATACACACCTATCCGTCTGTCTGTGGGAATTTGTACTTGGGCAATAACATGCAGGTCCGGTTTTGTATTCATGTTTTCATGCGTGACGATCAAGTCAGTACGTAAACCCAGCTAGCACCAGGAAATAACATTTTTTAAAAAATACACAGACAGAAATGACGAATACAGCTCTGTTGGTGAATTTGAGAAAAGTACTGGAAGGAGAATAATACGAAAGAACCAATCCTCATGTCCGGAGGTTGTTTGTACAGGGTGGGTCAAAACGAAACTGACTGAATTAGAAAAAAAAATCAAAATATGTGGCTAAATAACATGGGGGTACAAGGCCCACACGTTATTGACTATAGCAACTGTGAACATTTCACTTAATTTTCACACTCTTTTCCCAAGATATGATTATTTTAATAACAAGATTACAAAATTTAGATGCCCACCACTGATCATTTAGACTTTTTACATTCAAAACACACAATCTGACAGTAAAAATAATGTCTCAGTCTTGACTCAAATAATTCGGTTTATTTATATAACAGTGAACCTAATCAGCAAATAAAAAAACTTTTCAAATGACCAGTTTACATATTTAAAAAAAAATCATTAATTTAAACCGCCCTCAAATTACAAATATCAACAAAAATAAATAATTTAGAAGAAAACAAACTTCCTCTTAATACCCCCCCCCCAAAAAAAAAAACTAGTAGTCTGCCACCGCCACTGCTCATTATGTAATATGTCCAAAATGAAACTAGACATGAAGATAGACATAATTCATGGCATGTAATGAAATAATCCAATGTGTATCTGCGTAATATGTTTAAACAAAAGTATGACTTTGTTTCCGTGCTGTACCGTTATGAAACTTCCTTCAATCGGTTTCCGATTAATCTATTGTTGTTTACACCAAGCCTAACAAGAAATGTTAATAAAATGATGTGTCATGTTTCAGTTAAGGAACCACTCAAGTAGCCTTTAAAATTGGACGGCACAAGTTAATCTATAGTACGGTATAATATTTGCAAACAACAGAGTTTCGTTTTCATTTAAAATATACATGTAAAAAGATATCATTCTTGCATAATGTTGGTACGAGAAAGCCAAAATATCACAGGACTTTTTACTATTCAAATTGAGCTGCAAATTGCCAACATAGGCCTACGTATATAATAATTATCTTGCTGATTTCCTCCTCAAGCCATTTTTGTGTATAGGAAACACGTTTTACAATTCATGCATAATATAAGTTAAGAAAAAGGAAACATGTTTACAGATGAGTGATACATAGGCCTATAAGTAGATCCGAGTACGCTAATTACATTTCATAATTACACGTAAACAGTACAAGTAAAAATAAAGTATCTTAGAACTAAATTCGTAGCATCTGGACACAATGAGATTGGACCTCCAAGTTCGCGGCATCCTGTTGGCTAATTATTTTTCACCAAAAAATAGTATATTCTACAAAAATATTCACAACCAAAAAAAAAACCTTAATACAAAAAATCTCGCATATTAAACTTCAGCCTTTTGTGTATGTTAACCAAAAAGCTATACAAGAAATGCTCTTGCTATCGCTTTCACCTTGGACTCATTTACTTTGTTGTAAGGTGACACAAAACACTTAAAAATATTACTTGAATAATAACTGTATCAAAACTGACATCAGGCATAATACACCGTGATAATATTAGACAAGTTAATTGTATATTAAATTTTCTAATTTTATCTTAAGATATAACGTTCTTGACGAATTTGATAAACAGGTAATGTCGTCTCTTGTGTTCAATTTCATCTTTTATCTTGTATGCTAAATGATCAAACAATTCCAAACAATTCCATGATGATTGTTTTTTTGCCGAGAGATCTTGATGCCAACTCTCACAGTTTCTCGTTCGTGTCTTCGATCACTGTCACTTCGTAGATGCTTTCATCCAGCTTGTGAATAGTGATATAATCCTGTTAGGTGTTTAAAGACATATTACATAATTATAAGTTCCACTTATATGTTAAAAGTGATGGCAAGACATAATTCTATACAACTGTTTAACTGATGTGGGCTTGTTAATGGAATTCAGTATCTGTTTGTGTATAAGGGTAAACTGTTATTCTAGTTTACTACAAAATTCCTGTATCTTCTTGCTTTCTCGTCAAAACCTGTCTCAGTTCAAACGCAGCATCAACAGTTATCTGTTTGGTATCCTGCTCTAAGAAACTGTTGGTTTCCTTTTTTTGCAAGGGGGTGTGGCCTATAGATGTTGGAGTTTTGGACTCATGACCAAAAGGTCAGATGTTTGGTTCCTCCGGCTGGTCTAATTTTGTGTCCTTGGGCAATCTACTTCACCCTACTTCACTTCTCTCTACCCAGGAGTATATAAGTACCATATACATTTCGGTAATTTTATGCCAAGGACACCGAAGATAAGTGTCGGCCTAATGGGTAGTTTTTTACTACTTTTATGGTATTTTTTTCGGCTGACATCAAAAGCGGATCCTCTTCCTTAGCAATTGATTATACTGATCGAGCTGAGTCATGTGACAGCTGATCTAAATATATCAAACCTTTCTGATGGTGTTAAATATTGTGCATATTGTGTGTCACCAACCTTCTCTTCAGATAACATGTCCTCCAATTGCCGATACAGACTCTGGAATGTGGGTCGATCCTTGGGACTCTCCTGCCAACAGCTGCACATCATGTCATACCTGAAACATGCCAATCGTGCAATTGATAATGAAAAGACGACCCATTCTTTCAAACACCACTTCATATCGACATATCTAGTCTTCAAAGGGAAATAATTTCGATCCTTCTGTGTACATGTATTAAGAGAAAAGTACTTACAGCTGTTTCTTGCAGTTTTTAGGCTTCGGCATACGATAGCCCTGCTGTAATTGGCTGACCATTGCCTTTGTCTTCATCATTGGATACGGCCGTGCACCTGTCGAAAATAAGGGAAATTATTCATTTCTCAGTAGGCACTCAGTAGGCACAAATAAATCCAATATATATGGTCACAAATCTTGAATGGTGCAATGTGTCCAGTGTCGTTCCACACACACCAAAGTCGATTTATAAACTCACCAAGTGTCACAATCTCCCACAGCAGAATCCCAAAAGACCATACGTCACTCTCTGTCGTGTACACGTCATCTAGAAGAGATTCCAATGCCATCCAGCGCATGGGAAGAGCACCCTATAGAGAGATATCAAAAAGTTTCTTTCACTCAATTTTAGTGTAGTATAATAATATTCAGCATCTCACAGTGCACTAGACTACTTTTTAAATTCTCTCAAATATATGTCCCCCCCCCCCAAAAAAAATAATAATAATAATAAAACCAGGTTACCCACCTTAAGGATAATATGAACAAACTTTGTTTGCGGCTTTGTTGGGGGACACTCTGTATACCGTATAATGATAGCCTTAATGCCATGATATTTGCGAACTGTATCATGTATTTTTAAAGAGATGTGTGGTCTATGCCTAGTACCTGTGATTCTCGTTGGTAGATACGTGTGTTCATGACGTCACGGGCCAGTCCAAAGTCAGACACTTTACACACCATGTCATCTCCCACCAACACGTTACGTGCGGCAAGGTCACGATGCACACACTGAGATAAACAAAAAATCACCAAATTAGAAGAAACCAACCGCTTCACATACCAACAAGTAAGGCAACCAATACCTCAGACAAAAACACCTAAAAGCAAATGCTGAAATTCAGATTTTTGCTTGTCCAAGAAGGCCAGCCCCTTCGTAACTTCCTGAATGAATGACTCACTTGTGGAATCTGTTTAGCTCTCGCAATGACTCTCAACTGTGACATGGACTTGTCGGCGGGGACCAGCTTTTACTAGGCTTGGCTGGTCTTGTTTTAATGGAAATCAACAAACTGTACCAAAAAGGCACACAGTACCTCAGCGATGCGGTACAGGTATGTGTTGTTGTTGTAGGGTTGAATGCGCGTACAGCACACTGTGCCATTTGCGCCATACGTGCTGTACACGACCTAATTTGAAGCTATCCAGAACCGAATTTGTGAACAGTCATTGAGGGAAAACTTATACATTTTTTTTATCCACCATGGTTTAATGAAGAGCCACATGGTCAAGGATAAGCTAATCAGCACAGCCTATTTTTAAACTCCTTTTCCTATAAAGAAAGGACCCAAAACTAAACTGCACTAAGTGCAGCCGCGAAGGTGCACTGTGCGTTGCCAAACAATATTATTGCATGTTGATCGATATTCGGTATTTTAATGAAATTCATTATTTTACCTTTTGAGATGATATGAATGCCATTCCGTTAGCCACATCCTTGGCAAACTTGACCAATGTCCGAGACAGTAATTTGCTCAAGCCGGGTAGGTTGGAGTAACCTGACCCTGGATCCTTGTCTCGATACCCCATCAGAACATTCGTCAGGTCACCCTTAGCAAGGTATTCAACGATCACATACCCGGGATCTAAGAAACAAATGAACAAATTATGGTCACCGCGAGACCCAGAACACCACATAAATATATTGTTACATTCAATTTAGAGGCCATAATGCTTGAGAGTCAAGGACTTTTCCCTTCAGTATAAATATGACTAATTCAAATTACCTTTCTCTTTGCAATGTCCGAGAAGTTTAACAACATTCGGGTGACAACCAACTTTCTTCATCAGCTCCAACTCCTCAAGAAGCTCCACCTTAGCGTGATCGCCACCGCCCTCTACCGTCGTACGAAATGAAAGTTAATGAAACTCCTTAAAAAAAGTAACTGAGTGGACACACAAAACATAATTTTCACCGAAATGTTCACAATTATTTTCCCCTTCTGTTAGAAATTGACAAATATACCTTTGAGAGTTTTCACGGCCACTTTTGTCCTTTTCCCAGTTTTCTCGATCCCAAGAGCCGTGCCCAGCAGAACTCTCCCAAACGCGCCCCGTCCCAGCTCTTTCTCAATGACCACGAGATCTCGCGGGAATGCCAGGTCAGGCCCAACATTGCTGTACACTTCGGCTGTTGATGTCCGAGACGCTTCACCACCCTCATCTCTAATGCTTTCATAGACTGCGATGGGGCTGGGCGAAGTCATTGGTAGTTCTGGAATTGTATCACAAAAAAATTATAATAGGCCTAATTGAGTTAAAGGGACCCACACGTTGCATTCTGTGAACCGGTTGGGGTTTGGAGCACTGGACTATACAGTTATTTCAATCATATAGCTGGCAACTAATCTCAGCGCTTGGATTTTCCAGGTATTGCCAGATTGATTAATAAACTTTTAAACAAGGACAACATTTAGACAAGGATGGACCGAGTAAATGTGGCAAAACTATGAAATGTTATACATGCTGTCTAATCTGAGGTAATTGAAGGTCAAGAGGCACTTGCCTTGATTCTGCTCACGTTTGGGTGTTCTCTTATCAGGCCCGTCTTGATTCAGGTGATCCCTGCATTATGAATCAAAGGATTGTCTTCAGAAAAAAACTTACAAAATACACAGGAGGCAAAGGTTTTCTGCCGACCACGAAAAGGTTGCTGGATTAAAGTCCCTCCTTGCTATCAAATAATTGCTGGTTCGCGACATACCGCATTATCACACACGCGTATAGCATTTGCACAAGTACTTTTGCAATGCGTCTCAAACCACACTTACCCATCGTGTTTGATTGTTTTATGAAGTCCATCTCTTTCATGTTGTACTTGATGTCGCCTCTTCATGATGTAAAAAATGATACCACTAACGAGAATTCCACCGATAAAAGCCGCCACCACTGCTCCAACTATCACGCCAACTGAAGTAGGTGAAGGTGGAGCTACAATGAACGATACATCTTTTGTATTATTATTTACAATGCAAAACGAGTTTTTGAAGTTCAACTCAACAAAAACAACAATATCATGTACACTTATCGACACAATTTTATGATTTCAACCTTCCAGATAATGTGGGCTTATTATGACTGAATTTAATTGCATCATTCACAATCAGACGAACCTAATTAAAGATATAATTATGATCATCTTCATTACGTTTGTAGTCCGTATAAAGTAACTGACTAAGGATTTCCCACAATTCTTATTAAGGAAACTGCTCTGACACAACATAAACATACAGTTAGCTTCAGAGGTGAGAAAACCCAGGAATATTAAGGACATTCCTAAAACCAGGTACTAAAAGGAACCAATTATCAAATTGACCTCGTCAGGATTTGAACATGGGTCTCAGAAATGGTAGGTGGAAAAGAATACAGCTGCGCCAACGTGACTCCTCAAGCAGCCTAACTGAGAAGAATGACAGCGAAACCTTAATACATTGTATAAACTTTTTTCATACCCGAAGTTCAGACCCTTCCCCGCTGATGTACATTGGGGTGTATAAGTTTGGCTTTTAAACGAATTAGTTTCAAAGCCAATTGGATCTACCTGTAGATTTTATAGTTGGATGCATTGCCTTTGACGGAACTTCCGTTGTTCTCGGTAATTCTGTACTCAATAATGGGGGAAAATATCAATCAAATTGACAGTCAAAATAAAGGAAAACAGTTTAACATAAAAAGCAAGTGTATCATAATGATTGATATTCTATCTACAAACTCATCTTGCTCCCATTAAAATGATAATAATGCAAGTCATCCTTTAGGTCGTTTATTCATATTTTTTTTGGAAAGTCGCAAACACAGCAAGGATCGACACGTCGAATCAATCATTTCTTCTAAGAACCTCTGCCATACACTGAAAAGGTGGCAGCTTCTTTACAATCATAATTATAAATGCAACCTTCAAGGATTTGTTCATCAATGTTTCATTAGATTTGTTCTAATTGAAAGCACGATAAGCAATTAATTTGTTAGCATGCTAGATCCAGATAGACGGGGCAGCATTGTGTGGAACATATATGATGAACTACGTAGACCTACCTGGGCATATCTGCTGAGCAAACGTGCCTGTTCCTGTTCCGATTGTGTTTGTAGCATTACAACTGATTACAGCGCAATACTTCGGTGTGAATTCCACAGATCCTGGACTGTTGGAGAATGTCTTCAGAACGTCGGTGCCATTCCGAATGATCTGATGAGTTGTGGCCAATGGATTGGCATCTGATGAGCAGGTTATCTGACCACCGCTGTATCCCACTGTGACAACAGGTACAACTGGAGGGGAAAGGGATGGATATTGTTCTCACACGGTTTGGTTCTTGTGATATGTTGTACATTTGGAAACAATACAAGAATATGTGGCAACTAAATGAGCTAAAAATAAAGATTGTCAAAATCATCACAGTCAATTTTGTTGGCGGAAAACACAAGAAAACAGAACCGATTAAGAGCATCTGAAGTTGCCTTTAGGTAAACACCTTCGTCAAGTATTGTTTGATGAACCAATGTATTTGTTGGTGTTTACAATTGTCAAACACAATAATGTTCATACTGGTACTCATATGGATAATTGTTGGTTCTATGCCTTTCTGATTTAAATGTATTTAATTCTAGTGGTGACATTATTGACCTCCCATAGATCTACGTGTACACTTCATTATACTTACATTGTACATTGAGAGTGAGCCCTCCTGTTTTTGCCGTGGTGACCACCTGTCCTGTAGTTCGGCATTCTAGACGATCTCCATCGTCTGGAATATTTGGAGTAAATGTCCAAGTGCCTGATGTAGTGGAAGTGTTGTCTCCATTATCAGTGGGTGTATCCTCAGTGATACCCGCTGTGATCTTGACGTCATCTTTGTACCATTCTAGATTGACTGCAGGTCTGAAGCCGCTCGCTGTGCATCTCAGTACACTTTGCTCTCCTGCTGTCAGTCTGATAGGATTCCCTGATGAATCACCGTCAAGTGTGATGGTAGGTTCATTGCCTTCAACTGGATATAAAACAAGTGATAAAGAGTTCTAATAGCAAGAAACCCTTGAACAGTTTCTCTACGGGGGATTTATAAAGTATAGTACATTTGACAATCTCAATGGACTTCATTTGAAATTGCTATTCTTGCTGCTGTACAAATTAAACATGTTAACTGACATTTTTAGCCAGTGGGCAAACCATGCAAAAACAATACATGTTCACATCTCAGGGTATGAAATCCACAAAGGGCAGCAGACACAGTATTGAATTTTTCTGTGAACACACACACACACATTAATGACATTAAAACAATTAAAATAAATACATGTACATTTTGTAACTTATGTACACGTCCGACACTCACTTTCAACAGTCAAAGTTGCGGATCCTTGTTCTGTTATCATGCTGCATGTGTACGTTCCTTCATCTTCAATCTGAGCATTGCTAACTGTAAGGTCCATCTGGGGAAACTCAGTCGACACTATGTCAAAATTAGTGTATTTAGCAAAGGCTGGTCCTGTGTAAATGCCAAGTTGCTGAGTACCGAAGGGTGTTGGCCCCTCCTCCCAAGAAGCAATACCAGAACTTGGTGAAGTGTAGTCAGGGTTGCTACAAGTCAGAGTGGCTGCACCACCGCGCAAGACTGCCGTGTTCATTGGTCCAACAGCATCTACAAAGGCCGCTGGTTTTTGATTGGAGAAAACAAATCGCATCAACATAAAAATCTAATGTTAATTAAATGCTGAACAGTAATGTAGAAGGCATCACTGTAGGATAATTAAGGATAATTAAACTGCTGCAATAAAACGTCTTATATAGTGTCCCGATATAGTACCAAAATTGTTCTGTAAGATATCCATGGCAACCATGCCAACCGATTTAAAAACACTAGTTAACATACAATTTGGTAATTATTTTTTTAATAATAAAGTTTGCCTTTTTGATCTGGAACACAATCAATCCAGCATCATGTTACCCCACCCCTCCCTCTCCATTACACTGAATATCCGCATTCCAGAAAGATGGGAATGCAGGCACCCAATAAAGCGTCACACTACCGAAACTCCTACTTACAAAAATTGTCATTTCCCCCTCCGCGAATGTAAGCAACAAATTCCCAAATAGAAACCAGTTTGAGAAATAATGATTGGTCAGGCTGTCTCTACTATTTTGGGGAGATGTCCTTTGGCACGTCATACTTAGGATACATGATGTACACGTCTTTGGTGCAAGTGCAACGTCAAGGGTTCAGTTCATTTTTTTTCCACTAATTCACTTCATAGGAAATAACAGTAGGCCTACGTGTGATAATGAAACTTTCATTGAATATCAAGTTAACATGCAGGCTTACCTGAAAACGCAAGAAGCCACAAGCCCAACAACGGCCCAGCACTGAAATCCATTCCCAATTCAAAAGCGACAGATCACACTGTGGCCTGCATGAGTGGGGTTCACATACATGTAGGCTATTATAGCTATGATACGCGTATATACTTGTGGATACACATGTGTACAAAATGTTCAACGTATATTCTTATACTGCAGTACAAGTCATCATAAGGAACTAACTATATCGACCAATAACAAGAATTGTAAATGCGGAACCAATATGTCTGTCACTTATAATAAACTTTGAACTCTTTTCAAATAACAAGTCAGCCCTGTATTGTGTTCATAGTTTTTCATACGTGTCGGGCAAGTCTATACGCAATCCCATGATCTACACCAGGAAATAACATGAAAATATAACACGGAAAGAAATGACGCATACTCTGGCTGTGAATATACGAGAAAAGTACTTGATGGAGATGTATTGCACAGGATCCGATCCTCAGGTCCCGAGGTTGTTTGTATAGTTATCGGGACCTGTGTAATTAAGGTCAACTCGGTCGGTGGGACAGAATGTGCCTTCATCGTTATATCTACATTTTCCTTCAATCTGGCAGAAATGTTAATTGTCGGTTACTTAAAAATATTACGTCATTTGTTGAATTTGTTTTATGTAAGTTATTCGGTATATTTATAAAACAGTGAACCTTATCGACAAATCAAAACCTTTTGAAATAATCAGTTTACATTGCTAAATTTAAAAAAACCTACAATTACAAATATTAAAAAATACACAACTACCCCCTAAAATTACAAATATTAAAAATACACAACAATCTCGATCCCTTTCAATTGGCAGGGTTTCTCCCTCCTCCAAGGGGAGACGCCTTGAGTAAACTATAGGTAAACTATAGTTTGAAGAAATCGGTCAAAATAATATTTGCGCATTTTGGTGCTCGAAATACGATCAAGAATTATTCATTTGATCCAAAAATCTATTTTCTAGGATTTTTATTTTAATTTGAGAATCAGACGTTGGAAACACTATGTAGTCCATACAGCCAAACGAAACATTAGGTAATTATCATATGAGAAAATACTTGGGGATAAAAAAAGGAATACAAAAAAAGGAAACCCAATTTGGCGGGACCATTTTCTTAATAAAGTCTGCATGTAGCACTTTCAAAGCTCGGATATAAAAGCCCAATTTGTAAGCTTTCTTTTAGTACAAGAATCAGTCAAATCACTTATGTACTTTTCAAGTTAAGGAATTTTAAACACAAATACCATTTTAAAGTTCAGGACACACAAATCACAAAAAAAGTTGTGTGTTCTTTCAGCAAGACGAAACAATTTACACACATCCCTATGTGAATTGTTTTCGTTTTGCTGCAAAACGCTGCCCTCTCCCCTCATCACAAAAACAAAACTACAGGGAACCATAAGTTTGAAAGTAAAAATAAACCACGTTACTATATATACATGTATAATATACGGCCCTCATGTGCTGTGGCGGCGTTACGGAGGGAGGGGGATTCTCACCCCCCCCCCCCCTCCCGCCTCCTAAGCTTTCTTATTGCCCCCCCCCCCCCATACACACGTTCTGTTTATTCCCTTCGCTGTTCAGAATCAGAACTATAGTTAAAAGTAGAGAGTAAAATGTTGATTATTTGCGAACTGTTAGCCCATAGCATTATCATTTTGACTGCCCCAAAACATCTCTCCCCCCCCCCCCCCCACTTGCCCTTTTTCCGCCACTGCTTATATGTCAAAAATGAAAATATTTTAATGACGTTATTCGTTTGCATTCAAAATATAAAAAGAAATGCATAGTACTGGTACCGGAAAACCAAAATATCACAGTACTTCAAGTTACTACATGATGTATTTAAAGTTTGGTGCCAAATTGCCAATATAGGCCTACTCTTGTCTTGCTTTTTTCATCTGAAACCTTTTTGCCAGCACAGGCAACACTTTTTACAGATCATGCACAATGTAAGTCGGCAAAGTTAACATTTTTTATCCACATGCTATGTTTATGTAACCGTGAAAAATGACACAACTGGGGAACTCGCGAAAACTAATACATGTACAACCAAACTAAACTTGGGATCTTTGAAGGGAAAAGTCGCGAGGAGATTGAATTAATAGGGACAAGGGACACAAATTCTAGATTTCGAAAAACAAAAACAAAAATAATTTATTTACAATACAAAATTCTTGAACCAAGAATTTGAGACTTAAAACATGAAACCGTAAACCGTAAAACCAAAACTTAAACCTAAAACCAAAGACTTAAAGAAACGTAAAACCAACACAGTGTGTTATATAATGGATCGTTCAAGACACTTCTGGCAGAAACTCAATGACTCCAACAAGCAGACAAATCTAAGCAGGACAGGCACTCCAGTTATGCATGTGACTTGTCTCTGCTGATCTGCTGGGTGAACTAAAGTGGCTTGACCATGTGGCAGCTTATATAGGGGAAAAATGTGGGCTAAAGTAAAGAAACAGGGGGCACACTACCAACAAAATGGGGGAATCTTGAGTAACTAAAATGATTTCTTTTTCTAAGGAGAGCTACTCCTATTTAAAACTCTATACATTAAATACATGAAAATATTTAACTAAAACTGGGCCCTGCCACATTTACATATGAGTGATATATGTATAGAGCTGAGTAGATTAATTCTATTAGTTTTGAACACCTAAATTTACAAAACTAAGTTTTTAAGACTAAATTTCGTAGGATCGGGTCACCAATGAGACTTGTATTGGCTCATACGGTATCTTACGAAAACAGTATATTCTGACAATATAAAAAAAACACACAGTGCCAAAAATCAAACTTATAATTATGCTATATATTTGTGTACATCCATCATGTTAACATCAAGAACTATAAAGAAATGCTATTGCATAAAGCTTCACTTACTTTGTCGTACACTTCCTTTGCTGTAAAGTTACACAAACCATTTGAACGATGATTATTTTATATTGTATCAAATCAACACCATGCATGCATATATACAGCGATGATAGGAAAAGATATATATATATATTAATATATATCACATTTCTAATAATATTTTACGATATTACTTTTTAACCAATCGGATATCCAGAAGTGTTGTCTCTTCTGCATATAATTTCATGTTTTCTTGAAACTGATCAAACAATTCCATGATTTTGGTGCCAATTAACTCTCACAGTTTCTCGTTCGTGTCTTCGATCACTATCATTTCGTAGATGCTTTCATCCAGCTTGTGAATGGTGATATAGTCCTGTGAAGAATTGAAAGAAAATATAGTCTCAAATGTTAATGTTTTGGTTTCTACTGCCGGTCTAATATGTTGTGTCCTTGGGCACGTCACTTCAACAAACTTGCCTCTCCCAACGAGTATAAATCGGTACACTACCGCAATCAGCTGAGGAGTGTAACTTATAAGTTGGACATGTATCCCATTCAGGGGAAATATTTATAACATGTATTTTCGGTTGTGACTTTATGCAAGGGACACAGTACCAAAGATAAACGCCGGCCTGATTAGCCGCAAGCTTGGGACAGTACTGCATTCTTTTTCTACTGACATTAAATTAGCGGTCCCTCCTTTTCATCAATTTTATCTCGAGCTGAGTGTGGTGGTAATAATAATCGAAACATCCAGACTTTCTGCTGGTAAATACTTTGCAGATTCACCAACCTTATCTCCAGATAGCATGTCGTCCAACTGCTGATACAGACTCTGGAAGGCTGGTCGCTCCTGAGGAGTCTTCTGCCAACAGCTGCGCATCATGTCATACCTGAAACATGCCAATCATGTAATCGATTAAGAAAAAAACGACTCCCATTCTTTCAAACACTATTTCATATCTTCTATCTTCAAAGGGAAAATAATTCCGATCCTTCTGTATATTAAGCGGAAAGTACTTACAGTTGTTTCTTGCAGTTTTTGGGCTTCGGCATACGATAGCCCTGCTGCAATTGGCTGACCATTGCCTTTGTCTTCATCATTGGATACGGCCTTGCACCTGTCGAAAAAAGGGGTACATTGATGTTATTCATTTCTCAGTAGGCACTCACCAACGTACAAATAAAGCCCACATGGTCATCAATCTTTAAGGATGCTATGGTCCCAGTGTAGTTCCACACACACCGAAGTTGATGTGTAAACTCACCAAGCGTCACAATCTCCCACAGCAGAATCCCAAAAGACCACACGTCACTCTCTGTTGTGTACACGTCATCTAGAAGAGATTCCAACGCCATCCAGCGCATAGGAAGTGCACCCTGTGGGAAGATATCAAAAAGTTTCTTTCAGCCAACTTTGAGTATGGTATAATAATATTCAACATCTCACAGTGCACTCGACTACTTTTTAGTTCTCTCCAAAACACATCCCCCCCCCCCAAAAAAAGGTAACCCATCTTAAGGATAATATCAACCAACTATGTACTTCATGACCACAATAATGGTTTTAGTATAAGCTTTCTATTGATAGCTTGGATGCACACCTCTGGCCATGCATCACTGAGCTCCTTTGTTAGTTTTAAAAATGGTATGTAAAACTTTCTTGGGGCAGTTAGGTAAAACTTAGACACAGCCAGACATAAGATTTTAGGCTTTGCATGGTGGAGTATCAGTATCGTTTCGGTTTGCGGTAACACTATGTGGTAATAACTACTGCTCAGTAGGTATTTAGTTCTAATAATAATAAGTCCTGCTTATTATAAACTTTTGCCAAGTATCGTCTCATGTATGACGATGACTAGAGCAGGCTAGTCGAAACGTTGAGACCAAAGACAAGTTCTTTAGAATTTAAACAGGACTGTTATCAGAACTAAAACTACTTAGCGAAAGTTGATAATAAGCAGGACAAGTTCTTTTCATTACATAGGGTTACAGCAAAAAACCGAAACGATCGATACTCCACAATGCAAAGCCTAAACTCTTATGTTTGGCTGTGTTCGTAAAGTTTTGCCTAGTAAACTGTCCCAAGAAAGTTTTACATACCATTTTCAACTTTCAAGACATATAAGACATACATTAATTTTAAGAAACATGAACAAGTCAGAATTCCCATCATGATCCTATGCTACACCGCGAGTTGCATATCAAACACCAAGGAGATGGTACCGGTATTTATCTTCCAATATTATTGGCGGAGGGGGCACAAGACGGTGCACCAGCAGCATACTCCATGTTTTCACAATGTTTTACCGAAAGTGTTTGAAGAAGGTTTTTACATACCATTTTCAAAACATGGACCTCAGTCATGAATGATCACATGTGTGCATCCCAGGTATTAGGGAATTGCTTAAACCCATTGTTATGATAAACCATAATGAATGTCATAAGTTCACATTTGTTCACTTTATCACTTTGTCTGTAGGTTAACTTTTGTGGGACACCCTGTAGACCGAATAATGATAGCCTTGATTATTGCCATGATATTGCGACCTGTATCATGTATTTTTAAAGAGATGTGTGGTCTATGCCTAGTACCTGTGATTCTCGTTGGTAGATACGTGTGTTCATGACGTCACGGGCCAGTCCAAAGTCAGACACTTTACACACCATAATTATCTTCTCCCACCAACACGTTACGAGCGGCAAGGTCACGATGCACACACTGAGATAAAAACAAATCTCGCAACTTAGAAGAAACCAACCGCTTCATACACCAAGTGCGGCAACCAATTCCGCAGACAAAAACATTTAAAAGCATATGCTGAAATTCAGATTTTGCTTGTCCAAGAAAGTCAGCCCATTGCAGTCTCGTCGTACCTATATCTGACTGATTGACTCAGTCACTCGCTGACTGTTAATTGTGCAATCTGTTTAGACATATCATTGACTGTCAATCATGACTTAAACTGGTCTGGCCGTCTGGGACCAACTTACCAAGCTTGCCTGGTCTGGTTTTTAATGGAAATCGCCACCACCACTCATGGTAAATGGACTAAGGAAGACGAGTTCAAGAGTCGCTTGCCCCTGTTCCTAAAAATACACCGTACCTGAGCGATGTGATACATGTACATGTACATGCATGTTGTTGTGGGGTAGATGGCGCCGACAGCACACTTATTTGTGCCCTTTGCGCCATACATGCTGTACATGACCTAATTTGAAGACATATACAGAGGGGACTCAACGACTCGTGAACAGTCATTGAGGGAATAAACACAATTGTATCTTTGGTGTGTATCCTCTATGGTTTAATGAAGAACCGCATCGTCAAGGACAAGCTGATCAGCACAGATATTCTATTTCTAAACCCCTTTTTCATATAAAGAAAGGAACCGAAACTAAACTAAACTCGAGTGCAGCCGCAAAGGTTCAGTGTACGTTGCCAAACAATATTATGACATGTGGTTCGATATTCGGTATTTTAATAAAATTCAATTATTTGTATACCTTTTGTGATGATATGAATGCCATTCCATTTGCCACATCCCTGGCAAACTTGACCAATGTCTGAGACAGTGATTTGCTCAGGCCAGGTAGGTTGGAGTAACCTGTCCCTGGGTCCTTGTCTCGATACTCCATCAGAAGTTTCTTCAGGTCACCCTTAGCAAGGTATTCAACGATCACATACACGGGATCTAAGAAATAAATGAACAAATTATGGTCACCGAGACCCGGAACACCACATGAATTTATTGTTACATTCAATTTACAGGCCATAATGCTTGCGAATTAAAGACTTCTCCCCGCAGTATAAATATGACTAATTCAAATTACCTTTCTCTTTGCAATGTCCCAGAAGTTTAACAACATTCGGGTGACAGCCAACTTTCTTCATTAGCTCCAACTCTTCAAGAAGCTCCACCTTAGCGTGATCGCCACCGCCCTCTATCGTCGTACGAAATGAAAGTTAATGAAACTCCTTAAAAAAGTAACTGAGTGGACACACAAAAAATAACTTTCGCCGAAATGTTCACAATTATTTTCCCCTTCTGTTAGAAATTGACAAATATACCTTTGAGAGTTTTCACGGCCACTTTTGTCCTTTTTCCGGTTTTCTCGATCCCAAGAGCCGTGCCCAGCAGAACTCTCCCAAACGCGCCCCGTCCCAGCTCTTTCTCAATGACCACGAGATCTCGCGGGAATGCGAGGTCAGGCCCAACATTGCTGTACACTTCGGCTGTTGATGTCGGAGACGCTTCACCACCCTCATCTCTAATGCTTTCATAGACTGCGATAGGGCTGGGCGCACTCGTGGTCATTGGAAGTTCTGGAAATTGAGAAAATAATAATAGGCTTTTCAAGAAAATAATATGGACTCAAGCCGTGGTGCATTCTGGGAATGGGTTGCGGTTTGCAACATTCAACTGTAGTCATTTCGATCATATAGCTGGCAACTGGCCTCAGTACTGGAATGGTATTGTCAGAGTAATACATTCTCGATGTTTTTAACAAGGATTAACTATACAGATGTGGTCATGGATTGTTGGAATAAACTGCTAGATCTCGTTTGGATTATCGAATTGAAGTTCAAGAGGCACTTGCCTTGATTCCTCTTCTCTGGTTTGGTTGTTCTCTTATACGGTTCGTCCTGTTTCAGGCGATCTCTGCAATATGAATCAGGAGATTTTTCTTCAAAGTTCCAATCGCGCTTTAACTCAACGGCAACGATGTTCACAATGTAGCGTGACACATTGTTCACAATGCAGCGTGACACATTACACTGTTAAGTTAAATTCGGAAAAACAGAGAGGGCAAAGTTTGTCTGCCGACCACGAAAAGGTCGCTGGTTCAAAGTCCCTTCATTCTATAATAGACTTTGAGACGGGGAACAAGCAGTCCCAGCTCACGTCATATCTCTCATCTTGCCGGTTCGAGATATTATTACAGATGTTTAGCATTATCACAACAAAGGGGCACTTTTGCAATGAGTCTCAAACCACACTTACCCATCGTGTTTGATTGTTTTAGGAAGTCCATCTGTTTCATGTTGTAGCCGATGTCGCCTCTTCATAAGGTAAAAGATTAGGATACCACTAACGAGAACTCCAACGATGAAAGCCGCCGCCACTGCTCCAACTATCGCACCAACTGCAGTAGATGAACTTGAAGCTGAACATGAATAAAACAAAGCGAGCTTTAACAATAACATCAAGTGCGCTTATCGACAGTATCTCAATTGTTTTGATTGCAACCTTTCAGATGATGCAATTTGCGGCATCTACATATTATGTAAAAACGTTCGTAGTCCGTAGTAATCAAACTTAGGATTTTCCAAAATTAAGGAAACCTGTTCTGAGACAACAATGAAGAAAGAGTTAGCTTTAAAGGTGAGAACATCCAGGTGTGCGGAGAGGAAACTCCCCAAATCGGGAATTAAATGAGGACCTGTCAACAAATCTATTGTCGAAGTTTGAATCTGGGCCTCAGAATCTATAGCTCGAGAAGAATACAGTCCCGCCAATCTCACTTCCTTATCAGTCTAACTGAAAACAATGACATCGAAACCTAATTGCATGTTAAACTTTGTTTTATATCTGAAGTTCAGACGCTTGCCCGCTGTTTCATTTCGAAAAGGGCGAATGCTATGATTGGCTTTTAAAATTAACGGTTGGCTACATGTAACTGTAGATTTTACAGTCGAATGGATTGGAGTCTTCAACTGAACTTCCGGTGACCTAGGTAATACTGTCATCAATTATTCTGGAAATTATGTCTGTCAAATTGACAGTAAAAATTAAGGAAAACATTTAAACATGAATGGTTAGCATTTTCGTGATTGTAATTCTATTTACAAACCGATCTCAACAAAAATGGATAATTTTGTCATTGAAAGGTTTTTGTCATTTTTTTTATGATTCTGAAGTCGAACACAACATGCTGCTCGAAACGTTGAATCAACTGATTTTTTTTTTTAGAATCTCTGCCATACACTCAAACGGTATCAGTTACCTTTACAACCATGCAACCTTTAAGGCTTTTCAATAAGTTTTATCTGTTGATCTGTCACACAATACGTGGCCATATGTGTGACGCATGAAAAGTTATGTACCTGCTGGGCATATTGGTTTGGCAAACGTTCCCGTTCGTGTTCCAACTGCGTTTGTCGAATTACAGCTGATGTAGGTGCAATACTCTGGCGTGAATTCCACAGATCCTCCGGTGTTGTTGAATGACTCCACAATGTTAGTGCCGTTCAGGATGATCTGATGGGATGCAGCCAGTGGGTTTGCATCTGATAAGCAAGTTATCCGACCACCACTGTAGGCAACTTTGACAACTGGTGCGTCTGCAGGGGAAATAATCACGTCGAAATGTTCACCCTGTTTCGATAAAGTAGCAACTTGAAACAATGTAGAGTATAATGTGTCATCTACAAGATAAACCCTACCGATTCATCGATTTAATGCATCGGGAACCAAAACGTACAAAATGAGTGAGATGATGCGCGGGCAACTCTAGCCTCAGGCCCTTTACCAAATCTTACACAATGGAATTAATTCAAATCTAAAGATATGCCGAATTTCAGAGATCACTCAATTTTATCCCTTGGGCATGGCTGCCATGGGATTTTTCACATGGGTTCCTAAGGAAAAATTGGACACCATGCAATTCATGGTGTACATTCACATGGGTTTTCCCATGGTACTTTAACGCCCTTTCGCCAAGGTGTTTTCCCATGCTTTCCATGGTGATTAATCCAAAAAGGATTCCAATTTTTCTAAAGCACAAGTGAAAACTTTTTCAAAGCCATTTCGTGGGCCTTGATCTTTACTAACATTGTACACTGAGAGTGAGCACTGCGATTTTTGTTGTGGCGACCACCTGTCCTGTAGTTCGGCATTCTAGACGATCTTTATCATCTTTTATTTTTGGAGTGAATATCAAAGTGCTGGATGCATTGAAGGTATCTCCATTATCAGCAACTGGATGCACAAAAACACCCGCTGTGATCTTGACATCATCCTTGTACCATTCCAGATTAACTGCAGGTCTGAAGCCGCTCGCTGTGCACTTCAGTGCACTTTGCTCTCCTGCTGTCAGTTCGATAGGATTCCCTGAAGAATCACCATCAAGTGTGATGATAGGTTCATTACCTTCAACTGGATATAAAAAGTATATAAATAAGACATTGCATCTTTGTAATAAGTTGGTGTCAGAGCGTACAAAAATGTTAATAGTTATTGGCTGGAAGTCTTTTCATGCAACTGGTCTACACAATGGGCTGGAATTAGTCCACTCATTGGCGATAGCACTGCCTATACATATTCCTCCACACACCCAGTCCAAGTCACAAGTAACAGTTCGTCAGTCAGTCAGATGTAAACTTAGGTTTTGTGACCAGCAAACATTATCAAAAGAGCAAGTAACTCTCAACATATTTTTTATTCTGGCGAGGGAGATAAAGCATAATTGCTTTGAAGCTCAACGGATTTCGTTTAAAAACGCATATAACTCTTTTCACACATTTTACTGGCGTGCGGAAAGAGGCCGAGCTATATGCAAAACCAACAAGACAACCCATAGAACATTAAGGCTAATATGCACAAGTTCACATGCATGGCAATGTCAAAAAGGGTAGTTAATACAACGTAATGATCAAGTGAACAGACAAGAATTGTATCACGCTTCAAAGTTAAACAAACAAACAAAAGGAGAAACCAAACAGAAACGGTACTTAGGCTACATGTCAGTTTTCTGACACTCACTTTCAACAGTCAATGTTGCGGATCCTTGTTCTGTTATCATGGTGCATGTGTACGTTCCTTCATCTTCAATCTGAGCGTTGCTGACTGTAAGATCCATTTGGGGAAACACGACTGACACTATGCCAAAATGTGTGTATTTAGCAAAGTGTGACCCTGTGTAAGGTCCTCCCAATTGCTGAGTAGCAAAGGGTGTTGGCCCCTCACTCCACTGTGCAGCACCAGAACGTGGTGAAGTGTACGCAGGGTTTCTACAAGTCAGAGTGGCGTCATCACCGCGTAAGACTGCAGTGTCACTTGGTCCAACAGCATCTAAGGCTGTGAATTTTGAAAAGTTAACAGAATAACCAATGAAATCTTAGACGTTGATTTGCATCTCTCATTCATTCATTCATGCATTCGGTTGAGAGACTACGATACTTTTGCTATGCGTAATTTCACTGTTGCAACCCTATCCTGTGGCTACGGGGTTTGTTCCTATTTATAGAATGAACATTACATAAGTTTATAGTCATTTTTGTAAAAAAAGAAAAGAAAAATTATCCTCTTTGATTTTATAGTAGGATGGACTTTAGTTGTTCTTGGTAATACAATCAACTCTGGAAATAAATAATGTCCGTAAAATTGACACTAAAAATCAACGAAAACATTTAGACATGAATGGTATATCACGTGATTGTAATCCTATCTACAAACCCATCTTGCTCCCAGTTAATCACAACAAAAAGGATACTAATGAGTTTTGTCATTGAGGGCGTTTTTTATTGATTCTTAAGTCGAACACAGCAAGCTGCTTGAAACATCTTATTATCACCTGGTTTTTATTTTCTGAGAACCTCTGCCATTCCTTCATAAGGTGAGTGACAGCTACCTTTACAACCATGCAACATTCAAGGTTTTTCGTTAGGTTTTATCTGCGAAGCTGAAAGCTAAAAGAGCCAATTGTTAGCCTGCAAAGGTCCAGATAGACGTGGCCGTATTGTGTGACACACGAAAAGTTATGTACATACCTGGGCATATTGGTTTGGCGAACGTTCCCGTTCCTGTTCCAACTGTGTTTGTAGAATTACAGCTGATGTAGTTGCAATAGTCTGGCGTGAATTCCACAGATCCTCCGCTGATAATGAATGATACCAGAATGTCAGTGCCGTTCAGGATGATCTTCGATGCAGCCAGTGGGTTGGCGTCGGATAAGCAAGTTATCCGACCACCACGGAAGTCTACGTTGACAATTGGTGCGTCTGCAGAGGAAATAATCACGTAAAATGTTCACCATGTTTTGTTAAAGTAACAATTAATTTGTTAATACATCGCCCGAACCGTACAAAATATGTCAGATGATGCCTTGGCAACCAAACCTTATCACAAGTAAAGGAAACTATGCCGGTTTCAGAGGGCATTAAGTGATCCCTCAAACTGAGTAAACAATCATGACTAGAGTTGTGTATGCTCCATACAGGTGCGTAAGCCTACATCATGAATATACATTAAAGGAAATCCAGTATGTAAAATATGTCTTTTAAATTCATTTTCTTTCCGGTGACCATGCACATGATCTACTCACATTGTACATTGAGAGTGAGCCCTCCTGTTTTTGCCGTGGCCACCACCTGTCCTGTTGTGCGGCATTCTAGGCGATCTCCATCATCTTGTTTTGTTGGAGTGAATGTCAGAGTGCCTGATGTAGTGAAGGCATATCCATTAGCAATGGGTGTATCCTCAGTGATACCTGCTGTGATCTGGACATCATCTTTGTACCATTCGAGATTGACTGCTGGTCTGAAGCCGCTCGCTGTGCATCTCAGTACACTTTGTTCTCCTGCCGTCAGCTTAATAGGATTCCCTGATGAATCACCGTCAAGTGTGATGATAGGTTCATTACCTTCAACTGAAATTCAAACAGGTCACATCAATGAGACACTCCAACCATGCTCCAACCTTGTAAGTATTTTTTTGCACCTGGTCTACACAATGGGGCCAGACTTTCGTTTTTTACAAGTCAGTCTATTTTTACTGACGTTCAGAGCGATTGCAAACAATGCAAAACCTACTTAGAAACCTAAAGAACATTTTAATTATATGTACAAGTGCACAAGATATTGCAAAAAGCAAATGGGGGCGCTCTTCAACACTGACCATTAAGTACTGCAAATTATACGCCCCTTTTCACGGTACATTGTAATGGTTTTTGAGCGGGTTTTCTTTATTGAGATTGATGTCAGAACTCTCTAACACTTTATTGAAATAATTGCTTAACAAAAAATTGTCAAAAAAAAATCGCCAGAGGGGCAAGTGGCCCCCCCCCCCTCTGTGTACGCCACTGATCTGTTGTACAGACAAGAATTGTATCACATTTTACAACAATTAAACGATAAAAAGGCAACACAAAATAAGACTGAAACAACAACATGATAGGCCTATACATGTTCGCCTATATACAGCGGACACTCACTTTCAACAGCCAAAGTTGCTGATCCTTGTTTTGTTATCATGGTGCATGTGTACGTTCCTTCATCTTCCACCTGAGCATCGCTAACTGTGAGGTCCATCTGGGGGAACTCATCTGACACTATGCCAAAATTTGTGTATTTAGCAAAGGCTGGTCCCGTGTAAATTCCTCCTTGCTGAGTACCGAAGGTTGTCAAACCCTCAGCCCACCGAGCAGCACCAGAACTTGGTGAAGTGTACGCAGGGTTACTGCAAGTCAGATTGGCTGCACCACCGCGCAAGGCTGCCGTGTTCCTTGGTCCAACAGCATCTACAGAGGTTGCTGATTTTGAGTGGAAAAATTAATCGCATCAACATAAAGTGGCAACTTGAAGAGTAATGAGGTGCATTTTGAGGTTCTTCAGCAACACGTCAGAAAGATTCGTGATACTTTACGAACTAAGGGGCCATTCAGAATTTTCAATGCTTTAAAATTTCGATCTTTTTTCCAAATTGTGGGTGGGTGGGTCAAGCTAAATAATTGAAATCGAAATTCACTTTCCATGGACAAAGATAAAAAAAAAAAGAAACTAAAGATAGATCTTTTGACTTGCCTGAACTACGCGCAAGTATGGTGGCCCTGAAGGGACATCGCATATCGCAAACGTGTGCGCACACGTATGCGATGTCGCGAAATTTATCGCGAATGTGTGCGCACACGTATGCGATGTCGCAAAATTTATCGCGAATATGTGCGCACACGTATGCGATGTCGCGAAATTTATCGCGAATATATGCGCACACGTATGCGATGTCGTGAAATTAATCGCGAATATGTGCGCACACGTATGCGAATTTGTTTGCAATGTCGTGAATTTTATTGCATACCTTGTCGCATACCTTTCAGTAAAATTCCTAATGAACTGGGGAGTTGTAGCAGCTAGTCTGGAATCTAGACGTTCTGTTAGATATAAATAGGGTCTGACTAATAAACCTTCGCGCGCACGCTGTTCCTCGTGCAATCATTACTACTAGTACTGTCGAGCGCAAACTTGCTACTTGCGCAACTTTGAAATTTGCGCGCGCAAGTTTGAAACTTTTTCCTCATTCACACCAACGTAACCAAAGCGAGGCTGGAGGGAAAATAGTCTTTTTCTTTTTTGCACGAAAAACATTATCATTATTGGATGCAGGGAACATGACTGAATAGGCCTATATATTTACAATGGCGGCCAACCCCTTTTACAATACATGTTTTATGACTATATCAAGTCCCTTTCCTTCCGAATCGACATTTCAGGGTATGGCGTGCTAAGTTCACGTAGAAGAACTCTGTGTCCCAAAAGGCTGTGATGGGAATTTAGAAATGGGGATGATTGATCTTTTTCCGGATTAAATGTTAGCTTTGTAAATAAGTCATAGTTTGGAATTAACCGAGTGAAGTTATCAGACCTACCTGAAACTGCCAAAAGAAACGACAAGCAGCACAACGATCCAGCGCTGATTTCCATGATACCCAAGCACTGGTATTTCTAATCACACTGTACTAGGCTCAGCTCCGTATGGCCAATTTCACTCCATAAAACGGGCCAGTAACATGCACGACATATTATTGGTTGTGCAGACAAATACATACATTTACGAATTCATGCAGTATCTTTATTACTTCATTGCAGTATTAGACAAATTAAGAGTTAAACAGTTATGTATGATTCAGGATATGTGTCTGTCACTACCACTTGAATTGTGAACCTTTTCAATAGCATGAATTGTACCAATTTTTCCATGGTGTCGGCCTTGAATTCGAGAGTACGACAGTTTACATAGCACCAGGAAATAACAGGGGAAAACCAACATGACACGCACTGAAACGACGCATTTTATTAAATTATCTGGCTGTGAAGTGGCGAAGATCTAAAAGGAGATAAAACTAACCAACTTCCCGAAACTGTCTACAGTTATCAACCAATATGACCGTTGTAGCCTACATGTATTAACTTCTACATTATTATTTATTGTTATGGTCTATAACAAATCTGCTCATTGCAGCCTGTCGGCTGAATTACAAGACAGTTTACATAAAAAAATATAAACAAATAAATACAGGTTAAGAATAAACAGTATGAACCACATAAAACATTTAAAGGTATGTATAAATAAAAAAGCATTAAAAAAATCAGCAAGGTATTGTCATGTGTACGAGGCAAAAATATTGCACAGCAAAAACCACACTAATCCAGTAACAAATTCTGAAACAAATATATATATTAAATTATGAGGACGATGGGCGTGCACTGAGAGCATCATTGACAAGTCTGTTGAAATATGGAACTGGACTGTTTTTGAGAAGAGTAGTTCTACAAGAGAGTTCTAAGAGTTCTTTTGGACCTAATATTCATAGAATGGGAGCTTTTTGATTTGACAAACCACTCATTAAATGTATTTGAGTTGTATGATTTTAATGCAAAATTGGTACAAAGCGTGGTTCTTCTAATGTATAAAGGTTCCAGACCCAGAGTGGTTAATGCTTGATCATAATGATTATATTTGTGGCCTAAAATAATGCGAGATGCTCTTTTTTTGGATGGTTTCTAATTGATCCGAAAGAGTCAGGGAAATACCGGAATGTCATAATGGGGCTGCATATTCCTCAATGGGTCTGATATAACCTCCATACACTGTGACTAGTTCATCATTAGAGACCATTCTTTTTTAGTTTCCTCAACATGAAGAGTTTCCTGGAGGCTTTTTTGACTATGTTAGCAATATGCATGTCCCAATTCAAATTATGCAGGAAAATAACACCTAATAATTTAGCACTATGAACCTGTTGGAGTTGAACATCTAGAATAGAAAACTGAGCAACAGGGGGTTCCTTCCTGCCAGAGTAGATTTGCATGACTTGACATTTCGAAGGGTTCAAGGAAAGTTTATTATTTACAGCCCAATCACACAAATTGTTTAAATCATCCTGCATCTTGCTAGCAACATTGATATTCCTATTTTCGTTAAGTGTAAGATCGTCCACATATTTCCAGCATTAACTGTAAATAGGGTCAGCAGCGCTATTAATACAAGCCAGAAAAATCACCGGCCCTAATTTCGTTCCCTGTGGGACACCATTTGAGAGAGTTTGCCAGTCAGAGAAGCGGTTTGTTTATACTTGACCCTTTGTTGCCGATTACATAGAAAATTAGCAATCCAATGTACAATAGCTGGGGACACATCTAAACTTAGAACATTTTTGATAGCGATTACATGATTGACCGTGCCAAAGGCTTTAGTAAAATCTATTAACACAAGGGAACCAATACTAACACCAGTGACTAAATGATGGTAAACATCCACAAGGCAATGAGTGGTGGGTAATCCTTTCTGGTTACCAAATTGTCTTTTATCTACCTTAGGTTGAATTGTCTTCATAATTAACCCATTTACAAATAAATCCTTCAGCTTTGGCTAATAATGGGGTTAAAGAGATGGGCCTAAGTTTATCCAATGTGGGCGGAGATTGCTTTGGAATTGGAACAATGTTCGCTTGATTCCACTGAACAGGAACAATGCCCTGGGAGAACGAAGAATTTATAATATCAGTAACAGGGATACTCAGCTCATACGCGAATTCCTTGATGTACTCGAGTACTTTTTTCGGAGTACTCGTACTCGTACTCGAATGTCAAAGTACTCGTACTCGAAATGACGAAAATAGATGTGGTGCACGTAGATGAAGGCGCTTGCTTCGGTAGTTGTTTGATCGTTGAAGGCATGCGAAATGAACAAATGGGGTATGTGACATGCCTAGTTTCCTATTATAACTTGAAAAGGGAATTCAGGGGTTTGTTGTAGAATGTTACCTTTATAGAATGCTGACGCTGAACGTTTGCGTTTACGGGCCCTTCTTCCCCTGTATCTGAATAAGCTGTACCGTTTGAGGAGTTGGGACTGTTCTGGTTTCAAACGACAGGCCTGGCTTCGCATGTTAATAAGCTGACTCCAGATTTTGTCTAGCCCACCCCCCCCCCCTTGGAAAAAAAAATCCGTAAAAAAAAATTGCATTGGCCAAAAGACGGGTTGTGATGTACATGCGAACGGTCTCCCCCTAAAGAAGAAATAGCCGTGACAAGGGTGCATTAGTTAATATAATATTATTGTGAATGATTTTAGGATTTTATTGGCGCTCCCCATTGAAAATACTGCATGAGCCCCCCCCCCCCCCATCTTTATCAATCTCGGCTTCTTTTCCGATTTCGCTTTATCACTTATAGGTTTTAATGTTCCGATCATTTTTTTTTTTTTTAATAAATCACTTGCTTCATAATACATCATACATGCAGTTATGAAGTTTATATTTCTGTATAATATATGTTCACCTGAAGTCTTTGAAACGTCGTTGAATTTCAAGTTTTCTAAAAAAACAAGCAATGAACTTATTAATCAACTCATTTTTTAAAGCTTTTAATACGCATATCAGTTAATAAAAGCTATGTTATACCTGGAATACCCAGGTGCTTTCCGATTGTCGACGAAATGAATTCGGCAAACGTCGGACATTTTCTGAAAAAGGAGGCATTCTTCCAGTTTTAGTCACGTGAAGTTTCATTGTATTACAATGTAGTTACTGGCGGCTACCTAATGATTTATCCTCAAATGTATTAAACATCCAATTAAGTTTACAAAAACTTGTTTCTTTTGGGTAATCCTGCGGGAGCTTTTTGGGTATTGTTTTCTGTTATGTTTTCTGTTATGTTTACCTCTCAGTACTGTACATGTAATTGTTTTGTCTGTAATTCACTGTTTGTAAAATGAAATCAATAAATAAAATTCATCAGGAAGAGTCAGAATCTTTTAGTCTGGGAACCGACGTAGTGCTTTCTAATTATTATTGTATTTTTCCCTATAATTTCTATTCTTTTCTATAAAATGGTTTATTAATTTCGAAAGTATTTAGTTTAGTTATCAAGTAAAATCCGATCACGTCTATTTTTTAGATTTCAACCCACTGAAAATGACTAAAATGTTAATGCCGCCCTCTATTGATTCAGATTGGTGCTCTAAGAGAGTGTTTTTGTTTGCCCCCCCCCCCCCCCCCCCCCCATTTCATAACGTGAAACCAGTCTACTTTTTTTTTAACAAGGGTACAAATTCAGGCTTTGACAATTATACATGCCTTATACTAGTATTTGTAGCGGAAATTTCGGCCTTTTCTCGGCCTCCATGAATTAAACATCGGAAATATGATCAAAACACAAAAAAGAAAAATGATGAAAATAATTTTAATAATAAACATCACAAAATCCCATATTAGTTTAGAGAAAAGAAACTTTCTTATAATCTTCGAAAGGGATGTGTCATGTCATGAAAAAATCAACGTTTCCATCACTTCAACCACATTTTAAAATGATGACACAGAATAGATGTTGATACTGGTACCCCAACATGCGTGCATTATAGAGATATCGGGTACCAGCGCGCCCAGCGAACGGTTGTCCAATACCATGTCATATATATCTGGATGTCGCGCCCAACTACCGTACCGCACGGCGCACCGTACCGTCAGAGGCTGGCTGCATGAATGCTGGAGCTGGATGGAGAGCAAAACAACTAGAATTTAAAAAACACATATCTTTTACGCGCCTTACTGTGTGAGACTTAAGGAATTACGGTAGTATTGACTTCAACTCTATTTCACACATTGTACCATCAGGATCGGGATCATAGATATTATTAACTGTTCCAGTGGGACTACAGGGAGGAGTGTACGACGCAGCTGAACTGAGTGAGGTAAACCATGTATAATGTAGGCCTAGGCCTAAACAGAAACTATTGTTAAAGAGGTTGTGGAATGCTCGAAGACATTTCCGTCATTTTTCGGGTATATGTAGCCTAAGGTGTGATGAAATAAAAACGACTATTGTTTCTGTCATGAAATGAGTACAAAGGGTACTTTTGAGAGCTGTTTTTCAGGTCCAGTTTCGACCCGAACGTGCAACTGTGTAAAAGTCGTCGTTGCGGTCAGCAAACAATACACAGTAAATCATGACGTAATAAACAGGACTCGTGTATGCTACTGTGACTGTGCATCGGATGCGGCTTCAAAAAAGGATGTGGCAGCGACGATCAACTTGTGTTTGTTTTTACTTAGCCCCAGGCCTAGCTTGAGTAACTCAAGCAGTAGCATGTCAGCTGGAGTTCACATGTATTTTATAACCTCAATTTCAAGCAATCTTCTTTTCCTCTACTCTAGCATGTCTAGTCATGCTAGTTTTGATGATTTTCAACACTTCCTGCTATCTTTTTCCAATTCCAGATGAAGTACACATATACATGTGGGGAAATCAACGCACTTTTGTCACTTTGTATCGTGAAGGACAAGCACATACGTACATTTGTTTACATAGGTTCATGTATGATGTTTAAGCTTTGTCATTGTCATTATATTTGACACATACATTTATATGTACCCACACATTCCCTCTAAGTATGAATTTTATACCATCTCTTGGGCATTCTCAAATTTCCTATTTTGGAGTTTTTCCTTATGATATTATATTCGTTATGGTGTTCTGAAACACTTTTTTTTACCCACCATATACATACATACAGTGTAACATGTAAATTATACAATGTAACTCTATTCATTTGATTTTGTAAATTTATATTTCATGCAGGTGCATCTTCAGACATTCTTTAGTACGATCTTGTGCTAACTGTACACCAGGCGAAAGCTGTTGAAAGTCATAACGTTTAAGGAGGTCCAGAGGACAGTGACTCAGATTGTTACTGTTTTAAACAGCGTCATCAGTCATCATAGCATACCAATTTGAAAGAGTTACCAATATGGATCGGTTATGGACATCTGTTACACTCGGTGTTTTCTTAGCATGTTTGCCATATAGTGAGTATCTGCATTATCCTGACGCACTTAAAGTCTGCTAAAAGCAGCCTGCTGAATTTCAAGAAAGAAAAAAACCCCACATGTACATGTAATTGTAACTAATTTTACAAAAACGTTTGCATTTAATTTGTACCTAATTTAACCCTAACGCTCTTCAGTCCTCCAAAATCAACCAGGCTGTTTGAAGTATTTAGGCTGTATGCCATTTTTGTGCCAGTGACTTTTTGAGGATGATTGTGTCAAGCTCTTAAGCTGCACCTTGTGTGTACATGTATGCTTAGCCATGCATAAATTATGTACTACAAAAGTGCATCTGCACTACTTCTGGATATCATTGTCAAAACCCCATTGTATCATAATGACTGTTTCAGGATTTTAAAGGATTGAGGCAGTGGTCACCCCTCCACTGAACAAATGCAAGAAATAATCTTTGGAGGATTGATGAGGCTGTTTTGAAGTGGCAAATTGGAGGAATTTAGAGATTAGAGGATCTGTCGTAGCGAAAAGGGCCAAGGTACCGGTACATGTACATGTACATGTAGTTTGGGTTAATAAAATCAACAAAAAAAAATACATGAACCGGTACTTCATTGTGTTTTCCCAATCATTTATCATCAGCTATTGTAGATGCTGTTGGACCAAGTGACACGGCAGCCTTGCGTGGTGGTGCGGCCACTCTGACTTGCAGTAACCCTGCGTATACTTCACCAAGTTCTGGTGCTGCTTTTTGGGAAGAGGGTGGAACACCATTCGGTACCCAGCAAAATGGAATTTACACTGCACCTGAATTTGCTAAATACACGAATTTTGACATAGTGTCGACTGAGTATCCCCAGATGGACCTCACAGTTAGCAATGCTCAGGTTGAAGATGAAGGAACGTACACATGCACCTTGCAATCAGATCAAGGATCAGCAACTTTGACTGTTGAAAGTGAGTATCAGACGTGTACATAAGTTACAAAATGTACATGTATTTATTTTAATTGTTTTAATGCCATCAATGTGTGTGTTTACAATACTGTGTCTGTTACCCTTTGTGGGCTTCATACACTGAAAAATGTGAACATGTATTGTTCTTGCAGGGTTTGCCCTCTGGCTATTAGTGTCAGTTAACATGTTATATTTGTGCGGCAGCAAAGAATACATGTACTTTTCAAATGAAGTCCATTGAGACTGCAAATTTACTATACTTTATCCATCCCCAATAGAACAATTTGTCAAGGTTTTTTTGCTAATTGAACATCTTTATGACTTGTTTTATATCCAGTTGAAGGTAATGAACCTACCATCACACTGAACAGTGATCCATCAGTGACTCCTATCAGACTGATAGCAGGAGTGGAAAGTGTACTGAGATGCACAGCGAGCGGCTTCAGACCGGCAGTCAATCTAGAATGGTACAAAGATGACGTCAAAATCACAGCAGGTATCACTGAGGATCCAGCCACTAGTAATGGAGATACCTTCACTACGGTGGGCACTTTGACATTCACTCCAACAATTCCAGATGATGGAGATCGTCTAGAATGCCGCACAACAGGACAGGTGGTCGCCACAGCAAAAACTGGAGCGCTCACTCTCAGTGTACAATGTAAGTACAATGAAGTGTACACGTAGATCTATGGGAGGTCAATAATGTCACCACTAGAATTAAATACATTTAAATCAGAAAAGCATAGAACCAACAATTATCCATATGAGTACCAGTATGAACATTATTGTGTTTGAAAATTGTAAACACCAACAAAAATACATTGGTTCATCAAACAATACTTGATGGAGGATACGTACCTAAAGGCAACTTAAGATGCTCTTAATTGGTTCTGTTTTCTTGTGTTTTCCGCCAACAAAATTGACTGTGGTGATTTTGACAATCTTCATTCTTAGCCCATTTAGTTGCCACATATTCTTGTATTGTTTCCTAATGAACAACGTATCACATTAACCAAACCGTGTGAGAACAATATCCATCGCTTTCCCCTCCAGTTGTACCTGTTGTCACAGTAGGCTACAGCGGTGGTCAGATAACCTGCTCATCAGAAGCCAATCCATTGGCCACAACTCATCAGATCATTCGGAATGGCACCGACGTTCTGAAGGAATTCACCAACAGTCCAGGATCTGTGGAATTCACACCGAAGTATTGCGCTGTAATCAGTTGTAACGCTACAAACACAATTGGAACAGGAACAGACACGTTTGCCGATCAAATATGCCCAGGTGCGTAGCTAAACTATTTTGTTGTTTTCCTTAACCAAATGTAACAACAGTTTACTTTAACTACCTTAAATCCAACCAAACTTTGCATTTTTTTTATAACTGTCATGATTGTGCTCTTATCCACTTCTGAAGACACCAGTGATTGTTTTTGTTTGCTGTTATTTTTTTATTCATAAAACAGTCTTACTTTCCCATGTGTGTTGTAGGCTACTTTTCATGTTACATGTACAGTGTACATGTATTTTTATGCCCCGCGGCGAAGCCGAAGGGGCATACTGTTTCCGCCTTGTCCTTCCGTGGGTGGGTGGGTGGGTGGGTGGGTGGGTGGGTGGGTGGGTGGGTGGGTGTGTGGGTGTGTGTGTGGGTGGGTGGGGGTGTGGGTGTGTGTGTCCGGACAAATCTTGTCAGCACGATAACTTGAGAAATACTTAACATATGAACTTCAAATTTGGTTTGTGGATTGTTCTTGGTAATCCTAAGAAGCCTTTCGCATTTGGGGCCAAAAGGCCAAAGGTCAAGTTCACAGTGGCTAAAACAATAGAAATCTTGTCAGCGCGATAACTTGAGAAATACTTTACATGTGAACTTCAAATTTGGTTTGTGGATTGTTCTTGGCAATCCTAAGAAGCCTTTCGCATTTGGGGCCAAAAGGCCAAAGGTCAAGTTCACAGTGGCTAAAACAATAGAAATCTTGTCAGCGCGATAACTTGACAAATACTTTACATGTGAACTTCAAATTTGGTTTGTGGATTGTTTTTGGCAATCCTAAGAAGCCTTTCGCATTTGGGGCCAAAAGGCCAAAGGTCAAGTTCACAGTGGCTAAAACAATAGAAATCTTGTCAGCGCGATAACTTGACAAATACTTTACATGTGAACTTCAAATTTGGTTTGTGGATTGTTTTTGGCAATCCTAAGAAGCCTTTCGCATTTGGGGCCAAAAGGCCAAAGGTCAAGTTCACAGTGGCTAAAACAATAGAAATCTTGTCAGCGCAATAACTTGAGAAATACTTTACATGTGAACTTCAAATTTGGTTTGTGGATTGTTCTTGGCAATCCTAAGAAGCCTATTGCATTTGGGGTCAAAAGGTCAAGTGTCAAGTTCACAGTGGCTAAAACAATAGAAATCTTGTCAGCGCGATAACTTGAGAAATACTTAACATATGAACTTCAAATTTGGTTTGTGGATTGTTCTTGGTAATCCTAAGAAGCCTATTGAATTTGGGGCCAAAAGGTCAAGGTTCAAGTTCACAGTGGCTAAAACAATAGAAATCTTGTATTTATTCTGAGATTATAGGGATTAGGGATTAATTCATATAAAACCTACAGAAGACACTAATGCTGTCAATGAATGTTCCATGTGACCAAGGTACATGTAAGTTGATGTTAAAAGAGTGGTGTTATATGTCATGGGAACAGTCACGGTTGCGGGGCATTTGTGTTTGTAAACACACCTGACTTGTTAAATCCTGCAAACTTATACTGGATGTATTTGTGTGGACTACACTAAATGTGTATTATTAGGGCTGATTCACGACAAATAATGCAGTTGTCTAATTTTCATTCTATCAAATGTGGAGAAGTTTTGCTCATCAAACAATACAGAAATGCACAAAACTTCACTTTACAACCATAAGAATACAGTGTACATGTACACAAAGTTAGTAGTGATTCAGTTCCGATGTGCAAGCAAAACAATAAGGGAGAAATTTTACAGTTTGAAATTCCTTCTGAATGTCTCACAGTTGTAGCATTTAGTGTGGACAGACCCATCCCACTTAATATTTGAAAATACTTGAGGAATACATGTACATTTACATACTGTACTCAAATCACTTCCTTTTCACCACACATACATGTACGTGGTATTAGCATTGTGGCAAGCTGACAAAGTGGTAGAATTTAATGTCTGATGATCTCCACCAAACATATCCGTGTACATGTACATTTTGTACCATGTTCGTCTAAGGCCAAAAAAAAAAAGTCTCCGGTTTCTGGTATGCGCGCGCGTCGCTGTAGCCATGCGCGTCGGCAAAATGAAAAAGTTTTTTTTCCAATGAAAGATGATGTCTCAAAACCGCCAAACTCACTGGTTTGACTGGAATCCTTCTGCTGCACAATTTTAACGTGTTTTTAGATGGGGTTATGATCAAGAATAAGCTTTATGTGGCCTCTCTGGACTCCCATATATTTGCACTAAGTTTCGTCGGGCACCATTTGCAGTCATTGGCCGACATTTGAAGCAAAAAAGTCAGGTTAAAAAAAAAAAAGCCACGTCGCCGCACCACTTTTTGGACGAGCTCCATACCAGAAACCGGAGACTGTTTTTTTTTTGGCCTAATGTTTAAAGAAAAAAAATCTTTAACTTCTCGCAGTTATCCCTGATGAAACTACAACAGAAATGCCAAGTACCGGTATGTCCCACACGTTCAGTTGTTTGCAAAATCCCTTCACTAAGCATCTTACAGCTGGCTGTTCCAAACTTATCCACGCTGAGATTTTTCCAGTTTGTTTTCATTTACAAAATTATTCTTGTTCCTGTTTTTCTTACTTGTTTGCCACGTTTGGGCCAAAAAGAATTTAGATTCATTCTTAATCATGCCAGCAACATGTGTATGTACGCATAATTAAAAATTCAAAATTACAGGTAGAATTAAAATTTTGCCGAGAGGTTTTATTATTTGTTTGAGTGGTTTTAACATTTGTTTGAGTGGTCACATCCGTTTCGGATATGGGGAGTACATTGTTCAGGGTACATGTACATGTAGATGCACAATTTTCATTTGCATGTGGCAGTTGGCCTTCCATTTCATTTGCCTGATTTCCAATAACCAGTACGTGTACATACATGTACATCAGATTGGACATTTGCTGTGCACCAACGAACCTTTATTTTTTGAAGTGTAAATTTTTTTTTTTTCAGGTCTGTAATGTTCAAAAATGCACCCCCACCTACACCATGTCCACATGATGTACATGTACATGTGCACTGTTGTACATAATAAACAATGTACGTGTACACTGTATTCATACATAAATTTTGCAAGTTCTGTACCGTATGTATACACGTATACGACTGTACGTATCAGTACGTGTAGTTCATTGTGCTTTAATAGTATAATTCTGTCTACATGTACATGTAGGTATGCAATTTTGTTGGTACACATGTCAAGAGTACCGGTAATTAAGTTAGATATAAAAGTGATGATAAACTATTACAGAATTCACATCAAATTATGCTCTACATCATGAGGTGGTTGTTTGACTTTTTTCAGTCAATCCCTTTAAACTGTGCACTAGTGTACATGTACCGGTACGGTACATGCACCAATACAATGGCTAACAACCATAGCAACCAACAAATGTTTTCACAACAGATATGTCTGATAGAAACAGTATTACAAATTATTCATTGTGTATAAGAAAAATAATGGTTACATCTCACGTTTTCAAGTGCACACGTACAATGTTTCTGCATGCACATAATCTACACATGAATGTAGACCTATACCGGGTAAATGTAATGAATACATGAACATGCCTGATTGTGTAACAGCATGGAGCTATATAACACATGTGTTTTATACTAGCTCCATGGTAACAGGTACATACATACATATATGTACATGTACTTTGTACATGTATGTAGGCCTACTGTACTTCTTTGCAAGTTTCTTTGAGTGTTTTTTTAACATGTACATTTGTGTACATTGTATTCTAGTTGACTTTTTGAGTTTGTCTTTTACAGTTGAGTTTGAGTTGAATACTCTTTGAGTTGACTTTTGAGTTTATACATTGTAGGCCCCTACATGTCCAGTTTTCAAGTTGATACATGCGTTTCTGAATTGAGTTTTCAACATTCAATTGGACTTGTAATTTTGAATTGAACTATTTGCATAAGAGTTAACTTTTTGCAACTTACTGTACCTAATTTTAGTAAAATATGTACATGTAAGCAGATGCCAAAACAAAACAGTAATACGTACATGTACCTACTGTTTTGTTTTGCTACTTTCTACAGTATTTTAACTGTCAGTTCTGGCATACATGTATGTATGTACGTGTATGTTGGGCTACTCTTAAATTGCAATCAATTTTTGAAATTGTACATGAACTGAATACTGTACTGTCCATACACATACATGTACAATGTATGCACAGTGTACATGTACATGTAGTACTTACATGACTTAATAATAGGTCTGCTGTACACATCTACATTGTACTTTTGTTTCTAGGAAAGATATCGGTACTCGGTAGCCTACTATCGGGTTATTCAGATGGTATTGTTACTGCAAACAAAAATCCATAAAAAAACACACAATAACACGACCACTCAACCGTTAAGATTAACCAGTCATACATTGTACCAATGGGCAGGTCAGACAGTGAGTAATACTAATGGAAGAGGAGTGTTAATGCATGGCATACTTGGAATACCAGTGATATGACTGGCAGAGAACTTCCTGTATGAAATGAGTTAGTTAAAAATGAAACAAGTTGTAAAGGTCATTACTTTATAAACACCCTTAAGGCTTAAGCAAACATGGTAAAGATCTAGCATGCATGGCATTTTCACAGACAGAGGCAGGGTTATTAATGCAGTACATGTACATGTACATGTACATACACATGTGTTTTGTATAACACATGCCAATGTGTATTTAAACCTGAAAATGCTTTAAACATTTCAAGCTTGTAACAACATTACGGAAGTAATTTGTACTTGTATGGATTTAGTTTTTATTCAAAACCACATTTTAAATTGGGAGAATTCTATAAAATAAAAAGTTTCAGCAGCGCCCAAAAATAGGTGCTGCTGAAAATTGTAACAAAAAAATGAGTGCTAATTGAATAAATGTTCACATTCAACTATCAAAGAAAAATTATGTTTTTGGAGTGGATAAAAGGCCTACATGTACCAATGTTTGCACTGGCACACCCCCAATCCACAAGTGGTTCACGCATCAAAGCATATCAGGTCATCAATAAGAAGCTACAGCTGACAGTATCAATAAAGAACTCATCAATTTCACAACTGAAATTCTGCTTCAAGGAATCGCATAGGCCTACCAGTATGTACTGAGGGGCAAATTGTTTTTGAGGTCAATTCAATTTGACAGAAACAGGGTTGGTAACTCTTTACATGCCTTGGGGCATCAAAGCAATTTTGTGTAGAGGTTTGTGTACATGTACATGTACTTATGCACTATGTACATTGTACCAGTACCGGTACATGTGGGACTTAAAATATTTTCCCTTTCCAAGTTCAAGCCTTTTGGGCTCCTTCACTTCATCTGTCACTGACCATGGAGCTATGACACAGCCCACATGAAGTTTAAATAACCTGTAGGAATTTTGGAAGTAAAAAATGCTGAATACTCATACAGTTTTGTACCAAATGCACTTTTAACATTTACATTTTATTACATGTACATATATCTATATTATTGTAGAACTTGCACCTGTTTTTAAATATATTTTGTAGAATATTTTTAAAGAATATTTGCACTGGAATTTGAAATAGCATTATTCACTTTGAATGGATATTTTTTATTAGGTACCAAAATTGTCCAATGAAGTAGAAAAGCAAGAGTTCTGATTTCTGATGTTATTTGGAAGATAATGTCTTAAGTTTGTTCATGGTGGAAGGAAGCTTCCTTCCTTGTTTTGTTCCTTCCTGGATGGTTTGTTACACAATTCACAACTATCATAAATTGCTTTCTTATATCATATTCATGAGATTCATTAAGTTCTGTGTTTTTGTGTTGTACCGGTAATATAGCCCATTTGTACTTCATGGTGCTCCCAAATATTAAACAAATGTCTTCAGAAGAAATGCCTCATTGGTTTCACAAAGGCTGTAAGTAGCCAGCACAGCAAATTTAAAACAGTAGGGCCTAATGATTGAAATATCAGCAACAGGAAGTTGTCTTTTACTACATCCTGGTACATGTACTTCTAGGTTTCTAGTCACTTCTAAGTCACTTCTAAGTTCTAGCCTGTGAAACAAGATGCTTTATTTTCCTGCTGATAGTGATGAAGATGAATTTTCAAACTAGTGGCAAACCTAACCTTGGGCGGTCATTGCTAAACAATAAACTCTAAAGCAAAGTAGCAAACCTTTTCTATTACCTTACATGTTCATCTTGTTATAGTCTAGTCATGGTACAATATACCGGTACCATGGAGGTAGAATCTACCTCCATGAATATACCAGACAATATGTATGCAGCTCTGCTGCAGAATTTAATCCCTAACTTTGGTGGAGCAGTCATGCATGCAACCAGAAGGTGTTCCCTTTCCTTATCATCAGAGGGAGTAAAATGATGAGTCATACTCATAGGACATCCATGGGTGGACAAAAACTTTTTGTTTACTTCCTGGTATATTATATGCTGATGCATTACTAGTAAATGTTGTGGTTTTCAAAGTTTCACCGTGCAGCAACTTTTGTTGTGTTCTTCCATGGTTCTTCTGAGTCAGTTGCCAAATGAGGCACATCTTGTACCTAGTCATGAGTCATGACAGTGCAACAAGTTTGTTAAACCAGGGAGGAAGGGTAACACAACCCACCACAAATCCGCAACAATTAAATAAGGTGTAGCATAACGTGCATATACGCATACGCATATGTTTTTGTACATGGTCTTACAATTGTTGCACATTTGTTCATCAATTAAAGGTACAGGTACATGTACATGTAGATACAGTGTCGTCTTGTCCCTGGAACAAGGTCGTATCTCCTTAAAGGTGTGTGACGACATGTGCGTGAAACGCAAGTTTTCAATGTCAAAAGGATATCGCTTAAAAAACCCGGATGTACACCCAAATTAAACGGACGTCGCGATAAGTGAGATACATCTTTGTTGCACCATGGAGGAAGAAAATAGACCTCCATGGTTGCACAGAACGTATTTGCGTGGGATACAATTTGAAGAATCAAGTTACAAGTTCTTGCACTGACGCAACGATGAACAATGCACGCATTATCAAAGGGGCTTGTTGGTACATACTTTTGTTTTTGTTTGACAAAGTGTCCAGTTAGTTGATAGGCTAAATTAGTGGTGGAATTTAAATCCATATTTTGGGTTCGAATTTCACTATTCAATTTTAATTTTAGAAACCTTCGAAAACGACCTTGAAAAAATAATGAGCCTACAATTTTTTGTGACACAAGCTAAAGAAAAGAACTGGTACAGGTACATCCCCAATGGTCTCTGATTGTTCTGCATTCACTTGCTAGTAATCTTCTTGATACATGTACAAAATTTGTACATAAATAGTCTGCCAATTCCACTTCTCAGTCAGCGAGTTCCCACCAATTTTTTTCAACATTTAATTACAACACTGGGGTGTTTTTATGAAAGGCCCAGTGGTCATTTGATAGCTGCAATAATAGGCCTACATAACC